CTAATATGTCTACTACTTACGCAAACGTTGATCACACTACAAACAATACAAAACTGCTATAAGAAACAGAAAATATTAATTCATTGTTAACCTGGGTCTTCAGTCTATGATCAGCTCACCTCACCTCTTATTTGACAAGTCTTCGGGTTTGAGTCGTTCGTTCATCACGTGACAGCCCCATACTTAACCAATGCAGTCTGAGCCGGAAAGAGAATTGATTAGTTCATCTCTCGAGTCTTTCGAATTGTTCGTTCTTTTGTCACGTGACGTGACAATTCCTACTTGGTCTTGTAAGTATCTGTGTTTTCGTTTTGATGTGTTCATTATTTGTCTATATTATTAGTTATCATGTTTAGGAACCGTGACATTTTAGTGAAGGGAGCAGATCGTAGTTGATAGTTATCCGTGACTAGCCCACAGTTCAGCACGCATGTGTTCAGAGGATTAATTGTAAAATTTAATAGAGTAAAAGTTTTATCATTTGTATGTGTTTACAAACTCAATCGATTTTAAAACAGCGCAAGAAGAGCAAAGAGCAAACAACAGAACAAACACAGCTTTGACAAAGATTAATCCATATTAATTTATACAGTAAACACACTCAGAAGAATTGGAGAAACTGAGGAGTTTCAACATCTGGAAAAGCGGTTGGAAATTGAAAAGATCCGGGCAGCAATGGTAAAAAAAACAAACAAAAACAAAAAAAACTCTCCAAAACAACATTTCCTCACTAAAGCTCTCATCTTTAACAAAGTCCATCATTTATTTAAATTATTATATTGAATTTATGACTGAACAATGGCGTGTTAGATACAGAGAGAGCATGAGCTAATTGAATAGAATATATTTGTCATTGTACAAGTAATGTTACAATAAGATTTATTTTGAAAGTTCCAAATTGATAGTAAAGCTTAAGAATACAAATAATAAGTGCGCTCTTGATTTGTATTAGATTTTTTTCTTTTAAATATCTTATTTAAAATATTTGATTTTTTCATTTTTATAGTTTTATTATCTTAAGTTGTTAAAAACTCCAGATTTTTTTATCATGTTATTTATATTTAAGTGTATTGTATTTATAACATTTTATTTTGTCATTAATTATTTTGTATTTTTATCATTTTGTATTGTCTTAAGTTGTCAAAAATGTTATCTTTCTTAATAAAAGCTGTATGTATGGATTGCCATTTTGTTGTCTATTAGACGTATATATGTAGTCGTTTAATAGCCGTCTAATTGATCACTAGTCTATTCCTGGGCTATGATTAGACGTCTGTTAGATTTTCACTGACAGCCCAATGTATATATGTGGTCGTTTAATAGCCGTCTGATGACTAGTCTATAAATGGGCTATGATTAGACATCTATTCGATTTTCACTGACAGCCCAAATTTAGCCTCGTTTTAGCCTAGACGTCTAGGCTATATTTAGACGTCCAATAGACGTCTTTTAAACGCAAAATTGCTTGCTGGGAAGTCATGTACATTTAAATGACATTCATTTGATTATTTTTGGAATGACATTAAATGTTAATGTATTTTATTTAAGAAAGTGTTCCCTGAAGCATTTCCACTTTAAGGGATTAAATTAAATACAACGGACAGTAAAAGGTGAATCTCCCCCTCCTTTTACTATCACTGAAGCCAATATAGGGCAGGTAAATCACTTTTCAGAGTCTGTCTTTATGTTCTGGTTAATTTCATCATAATTATCATCATACAATTGAGTTAGGTCTTTATTTTCACAACTAAATATTTTAGGAATATTCATTAAGTTGCTTCTTTTAAAATGTTTTATTGATTCATCTAAGGTGATCAATACATAATCCCTGGAAACAACAAATCCTGTTTGATAAATTGGACCAGTGGTTTTATATGGATAATACTTTGGTCTGATTTATCATCAAAACTTAACCTTTCAAGCATTAAATATAGGAAATCCAAATTAAATTCCTATACGGTGGGAAAAATTCCAAAATTTTATTGATAGTGCTTAACTAGAAACAACTCATACAGAGACATTTTTTTGCCTTTGGATATCTTGAAATTCTGGGGCATTATAACTGCATTCGAGATGGGCAATGCTTTTTGACTCTGTTTTTGCAAAGTGCTCGATAATGTCAGCTCGCATACCTCACATCACAAAATTATCGTAGATGATGCATATCGCACACCCCTGTTTACATTATGAATTTATACATATTTCTCTTCCCACAATCTTTATGATCTGAAAACAACTTTTCATTGCACTTTCTTTAGGTGTGTATGGTGTTGATAAAGATGAAGTGTCATTGATGGAAGAAGATTCAATCACTCTACACACTGGTGTTAAAACAAACCAACAAGAAAAAATTAAATGGTATTTTAATGACATTCGAATAGCTCAAATCAGTGTAGACCAGAGTAAGATCTGTACAGATGTTCAGTGTAAAGATGGTGATGAGAGATTCAGAGGCAGATTGAAGCTGGACAAACAGACTGGATCTCTGACCATCATGAACATCAGGACCTCAGATGCTGGACTTTATAGACTACAGATCATCAACAGCAGAATCAGCAACATGAAGAGATTCAGTGTTACTGTCGCTAGTGAGTATAATTTAGTGTTGATGCTCATTAAATATATACATCTTTGATCTAGTAGGTTGATCCACAAGTAGTCAGAGAAGTCATTAAAGGATGAGTTCACTTCCAGAATTAAAACTCCCTGATTATTTACTCACCCCCATGTCATCCAAGATGTTCATGTCTTTCTTTCTTCAGTCGAAAAGAAATTAAGGTTTTTGAGGAAAACATTCCAGGATTTTTCTCTATATAGTGGACTTCAATGGTGGCCAACGGGTTGAAGGTCCAAATTGCAGTTTCAATGCAGCTTCAATCGATCCCAGCCGAGGAATAAGGGTCTTATCTAGCGAAATGATCTGTCATTTTCTAAAAAAAAATATATATATATATATAGAGTTTTAACCACACTAGCTTTTTAACCACAAATGCTCATCTTGCACTAGCTCTGCGATGTGCGTCCGCGATTTCACGCATTACCTAGTCGAGCATTTGTGGTTAAAAAGTATATAATTTTTAATTTTTTTTTATTAGAACGTGAACGATCGTTTCGCTAAATAAGCCCCTTATTCCTCGGCTGGGATTGTGTAGAGCCCTTTGAAGCTGCATTGAAACTGCAATTTTGACCTTCAACCCATTGGCCACCATTGAAGTCCACTATATAAGGAAAAGTCCTGGAAATTTTTCCTCAAAAACCTTAATTTCTTTTCGACTGAAGAAAGAAAGACATGAACATCTTTGATGACATAGGGGGTATCTAGCGAAATGATCTGTCATTTTCTAAAAAAAAATATATATATATATATAGAGTTTTAACCACACTAGCTTTTTAACCACAAATGCTCATCTTGCACTAGCTCTGCGATGTGCATGCATCTTCATGCATTGTGTAATCATGTTGGAAAGGTCACATGCAGTTAGTTCTTCATCTGTATATTACAGTTCAAAAAGGTAGGGCGAAAAACTCCATCTTATTTTCTCCACCAACTTCAAATTTGCCTGACATTGTTGTTTTACTTTTTTTTTTTCTTTCTAAAGTTGTTTGACTTTGTTTGCATGTTCGCTTTGTAAACACTGGGTCGGTACTTTCCCCTACGTCACGCGTGTGTGATTATGTAACGCGTGAGGTTGAGCTAGTGCAAGATGAGCATTTGTGATTAAAAAGTATATATATATATATATATATATATATATATATATTTTTTTTTTTTAGAAAATCACTGATCGTTTCGCTAGATAAGACCCTTATTCCTTGGCTGGGATCGATTGAAGCTGCATTGAAACTACAATTTGGACCTTCAACCCGATGGCCACTATTAAAGTCCACTATATGGAGAAAAATCCTGGAATATTTTTCTCAAAAACGTAAATTTTTTTTTTTCAACTGAAGAAGGAAAGACATGAACATCTTGGATGACATTGGGGTGAGTAAATGATCAGGAAATTTTTATTCTGGAAGTGAACTAATCCTTTAAGTATAAGTTCATCCATGAGACTCATGTATGTTTGTATGATGAGTGAATGTGTAAACCAATGTTTTTCTGCTGTTCGTTTGCGGAAAAGTTATGTTAGGTTATGAATCCAGACATATTTTTCTACCCAGAGTATATATGATCTGTTGGAACAGGACTTTCCTGTTTTATAATTTTGTTTGTTGTATAATGAATTGTTCATTTCTTCTTCAGGTTCATCTGGTGTTGGTACAGATGAGGTGTCAGCATATGTGATGGAGGGAGATTCAATCATTCTAAATACTAATGTTAAAACAAACCTACAAGAAAGGATTAAATGGTTTTTTAAAGACATCCGCATAGCTCGAATCAATGGAGATCTCAGTAAGGTCTGTACAGATGACCAGTGTAATAAAGGTACTGAGAGATTCAGAGACCGACTGAAGCTGGACAATCAGACTGGATCTCTGACCATCATGAACATCAGCACCACAGACTCTGGACTTTATGAACTAGAGATCATCAGTGACAGAATCAGCATCATGAAGCACTTCAGTGTTGTTGTTCAAGGTGAGTCGTTATGTTTAATAGCAAGTCTTGTACATTTATAGCATTGTTCAGCAACATATGTAAGAGCTGGTGTCGGACAACGATGAAGAAGAGGCTCCGGCAGAAGTAGAAACTCGTAGAATGTACCAGAACGTTTCTTAATGGTTAGCTGATAAATTTGTCATTTTTGAAAACTGAAAATATTTAGGCCATTTTCAAAATATCAACAAATAATGTTTTTCAGGCTGAAAGTTGAGGTGGGGCGTAAGGAATTCCTTTTTTTTTTGTCTCAGAAATTCACATTTTTTTCTAAAGCACTGAATAAAACAACAGCATTGACCATAGTGCTGTACAAACAGTAACACAATGAGCAGAAGACAACTTTTAAAAAGGGATCACATCCATATAATTAAATGAGTAATATAAAAAGAAAGATCCTTCGATCAGCTGTGGGTTTGTGTTTCAGGAGTTTCTGCTGCTGATCGAGATAAAATGAGAAGAAAGTCAGTGAAGGAGGGAGAATCTGTCACTTTAGAATTCGGTGAAATAAAAAAAACGAATCATTCGATGGCGTGGTATTTTAATGACACTCTCATCGCTGAAATCAGTGAAGATTCAAGTGAAATCTGTACAGATGATCAGTGTAAAGAGAGATTCAGAGACAGACTGAAGCTGGATCATCAGACTGGATCTCTGACCGTCACAAACACCAGAACCACAGACTCTGGACTCTATCAACTACAGATCAGGAGCAGCAGATTCAACATCATTAGGAGCTTCAATGTTACTGTGACTGTCACTGGTGTGTATCACTTAGTTACTTAAGTCCATTTTTCTATGAACAGTTTTTAATTAAAGTTTGAATTTTTAAATCATCCAGTAATTTTAATTTTGGCCTATATTTAAATATAATTGATATCATGATCTTCATATGCACATCTAATGACATAGTTGTCAAAACAAACATGCTGTTCACAATACTAATGTTATTAACATGAACAATGTGTAATAATCAGTTGTAATGTGTTGGTGTTTCTTGTTGAGCTCTCAGTGTTGTGATGCTGTTTTAGCTGCTGCTCTACAAAAACAATAACAGATGGCGCCAATTACCAGTTAAAACAATATCACACAGCTGATGACCAAAGTAGCAAAGTGTAAGTCACTCTCTAAATAATAATGGCTGTCTGTTTTCAGCTGTTCTAGCAGGAATATATGCTGCTGTTGCTGTTGCTGTTGTTCTGCTGCTCGTTGTTGCTGCTGCTGCTGTTGTGATGTACAGGCGCCATGCTAGAAGGAGAGGTTAGTATTACATACAGCTGATGTGTAACAAGAGAGAAACATATTTATCGCATGAAAACAATATTTAAAAAATTAGAATTTATTTTCTATTTAATCAAAGTACTGTATGTTTAATTGAGTTTATTATTATTCAAACAGACCGTGCGGTGCAGGTCAGTGATCAGGTAAGATACTATGAACACTGAATCTTTTCTCTCTTTTTTTTTCTCTTTTTTTTGTGGTTTTACTCAGAAATGAAAACTGAATATAGATTAATAAATAAATACATTTTATGCAATTATAAATAATTTCATTGTATTATTATTGTAATTACATTTATGTAATAGCTGTTACACTGGTCTAGGATCAGGATAAATAACAAAATAATATGAAATCAAAAAGTGCAACTTCATCAAGAGAGCAAGTAAGGGTACCAATACTGACTTATTAATACTTGCCAATATGATATTTCAAGCATTTTAGATGTGCAGGCTGTTTAGGAAGATGAATGTCTCTGCAAGATAAGAAATGTGTTATTTAAAATCACATGATTCGGTTTAATTATTATTATTATTTTATTTTTTTGTACTTTTTAAGGGGTGGCTTCTTTAGACTTGTAAGGAAACGGTCACTGTTATGATTAGCCTTGTCGCTTTTCCACCCTCGGGCCGAAGTGTTCTCCTTGCTTAACCGTTCTGTTGGTGGTTTCGTTTCCACTGTTGGTCTGATAATTATGGAGGCGGTCCAATGCAACATTTTGATGCCAAAAGTTGCAGCTGTGGAAACCGAGCTGTTTGAACAGCTTGGTTTCAACAAAAGCTATTTCTGCTGTGATGAGGAATTGTTGCGTTCTGCAAAATTACAGTATGTTTTATAGTAGATGTCAAGAGATCAAACGAAAATTTGATTCTTCATGTCATTACCGTTTTTAAGAGAAGCTTCCCATATTTAAGACATGTTAACTGTTAATCTTAAATATCTGGATATCAGCATATGAAATATTTAGTCTTGTTCTCTTTGTGTAACTGAACCATCAATCCTGTTGATTTCTTCTGTGATTCTGTGTTTTAGAATCGTGCTGGAAACTTTTCCCCTAATCAGTTTGAAGCTCTGCTGATGAGTGAGACGGCCTCTAATCAGTCTGAGACTCATGCTGCCAATGAGACGTCACAGTAACATTATTATTTTGATTGTTTCATTGAAAGAGAACATGAAGAGAAGATTGGAAATGAGAGAAGAGCATCAGCTGAAACTCACAACACTCAGAAACACAATACCATGATTTCAGTATTACTGAAATTTCACCTAATACAAAATAGTCTACAATATAATCTATAATTCAGTTATTAAGTGATTTAAATAATACATTAAAGAATTTAATCTATATTTAAACAACGTAGGTGTTGCTTCAGAAATACAAATTAGCAAAAAAATTAGCAAAAAAGTAATTAAAAAAAACATGTTAGCAGCAATAGTGCTTGATGTTTTTCAGTATAAAGATGGTTCATTTAGAAATGAATTTGAATCAAGTAATTTAATACTTAAAGACAATCAGTTTTTACAGAGTAGCTGCCATCAATCAACTCACAGCTACTGAATTGAGTCTGTACTTCCAATACCAGTAATATTACAGTCTTTAAAGTTGTACGTCAAGTATTGTCATTTGATAACACTAGAGAGGAACATGCGTAATGAAAACACCAGTGTGCTGTTATTCATAATATTCATATTACTCAAAGCTGGTGTTTATAGCAGGAATCAGTTTATTTGTGTTTGAGTCTACGAAGCAGCTTATTTGTTTGTTTTGGTGTTGCAGCTGTATGGTTAAAGAAAGGTTGAATGTTCAAATCCTGCAAGGGTTGATCCATAAAATCTCACCATTGTGTCCTTGATCAAACTCTGAAACTCAGGAACTGAACCTGTAATAACTGCACAAAAAAAAAAACGGGAAAAACGGCAATAAAATGCCAAATATGTGTTTTTTTAATGATATTTAATTAGTTTATTATGTTCCGTACTTGTTACTAACTGCTGCACATCCCTTTATACTTTTACTTATATTAAGTAAAATTATATTAAATCTCTCTTTTGTTCAAAGAGCTCGCTGTCTGCCTACAGAACATCAGCAGATCTCCGATCTAAATAATTAAATCTCGTTATTTTTTATTATTTTCTCATTAATTAAATAATTGACTGAACTCTGAGATCTGGGGTTCCCAAATCAATGGCAGGATTTAGAAGTGTCATCAAGGTGCATTTTGTTTTACTTTGCATCAACCAAGGAAAGGTGCTGTGAATTTATTGCCTATATAAATACTGTTTTATTTACAGGAAAATGGAAAGGAACTTGCAAGGTCTTTGTATGTTCATATAATAAATGACATTAAAGCAGATATGATTCACTCTTAACTTGAATCTGAGTTTGTCGTGACATTTCTGAGTTTGTTATTAGAAATAAGCTAATCGTTTATAGAGTGACTGTACATTACTTTCTGATCAAATAAATGTTAATCTTTAACACTAGATGGCGCTCCAGTAATACAGTATGCATACCACTTGTACTAGTATTTTGTCTATCTTACACTCTTTCGTAAAGTAACACTTATTATAGTGATTATTATGACGTGACGTGGCCAAGTATGGTGACCCATACTCGGAATTAGTGCTCTGCATTTACCCATCCAAAGTGCGCACACACACGGCAGTGAACACACACACACACACACCGTGAACACACACCCGGAGCAGTGGGCAGCCATTTTTGCTGCGGCGCCCGGGGAGCAGTTGGGGGTTCGGTGCCTTGCTCAAGGGCACCTCAGTCGTGGTATTGAAGGTGGAAGAGAGCGCTGTACATTCACTCCCCCCACCTACAATCCCTGCCGGTACAAGACTCGAACCCACAACCTTTAGGTTATGAGTCCGACTCTCTAACCATTAGGCCACGACTTCCCCAATTACAGTAAACGTGTGGTAATTTGGTATCAGACACTAAAAAGACAAACTTTTGGTATCTTAGACTCTGAAGATCTCGCATAAAATTATGATTTTATAGTAGGAAACCAGTAAATATTTTGTAAAGAAATGGTAAATTGCTTTATGGTTTAACAATGCTTTGAATGTTTTGTTTTTTATTTATTTATTTCAAGCGGTGTTCGTTATTAATAACCCGAATATAAGTAATAGTAGGATGCCATGCTTGACAAAGCAAATAGCACACATCATTTTTGGGAATATTGCTCATCCCTCTAGTGGTCAAATTCTATATTAGTTTGATTTCTGAAAGTGTTTACATCTGCTTTCTTTGAGTTCCAGCACATGTAGAAGTTATACTTGAGCGTAGCCTATGATACCTCATTATGTCAAACCACGACACCATCTATATATCCATCCATCCATCCATCATCTATCTATCTATCTATCTATCTATCTATCTATCTATCTATCTATCTATCTATCTATCCTGCATATTAACAAGTTATATTCTAAGCTTAAAGTCCGCGTGAACCGGAAGTTGCTGCCGACTTTATTTCAGTGTAGTAACGTATTTCCAGCTCAAACGGAATATTGAATAGAGGGCGTGGTTTCATGTTTGCGCTCCTCCTCTCTGTCTATCACTCATATCAATCTAATGGTTGGAGGGGTGTGTTTAAGGATATTCTGCCCAAGCCGTCAAACTGAGGTCATCAGAAAAGTACACGTAAATGTTATGTTCAGATTTTGATTAAAGATTACCAAGACAAACAATTTTTTCAGCGGATTATCTTGCACGGATTAGTTGTTTACATCAAGACTAGCAATGTGCGCTAGTAAAGTAAATAAAGTCAGTTTTGATTTCATGCGGACTTTAACATCATTCGACACTGAATCATAATTTCCTTTTTGAAAAGCTTTTATGATCCGGGGAGGACGCACTGATATTTTCAGTGTGGCTTTAATACGAACCAGGGGCAAGTTCAAGCTCAAACCGGTGTGCACCGTTTTGCTACGGTTTCCGGTTTGAACGACATGTTTCCTGGAAACGGTGTGCAACGGGGTTTGAGATGTGTTTTCTCTTGTTTGGAGGGTGTGTCAAAAATGTCAGCCCAATCAGCAGCAACATGTATATAAACCACGTGGTACTAAAGAGACAGCTCTTTTGCACCGTTTTTGTCGGGGCTGAACGCAGCCCAGGAAATATGCTCCGCCCATCTCCGACACCGAATATTTCAGAACAACGTCAACGGAACACTTTTATGGATCACAATCTACATTTATTTTTAGGGAAAGCAGTGAACATGAAGCTTCTCTCTATTGTATCATCATCGTTGCTATGGTGTTTACTCGACCATGGTGAGACATAAAGACCAGCTACAGTTTCACTTCCGGCTGACGATAAGAGCGAAAGTGACGCAGTTTGTTTTGTATCTGCTCCATTCGCTTTATATTCGACAGAAATGTATTTATCTTGTGTATGTTGTTGGCAGTGTGTGGTTTGCGCGATCGTAAGACATGTACTAATTGTTACAATCTGTCAACGACAAAAACGAACAACAAACAGACGGTTGTAATTTGTAAACAGAGTCAACCCAGTCACTGTAAAGTCCAGTGACGGTATAAAAATCTCACCTAAAAATAAAATGGCACCATACCGTGGGTAGATGCTGAAATATATTAAATGTATTGAGTCACTTTAGATAAAACTTCTGACAAATGCAAAATAAATAAATACATTAATTTAAAAATGGATATTAAATGTAAACAGCAGGACTAAAACTAAGATAAGAAAAATAAATAAAATGTTTATTTAGTAGGCTGCTCTTCTGAATATGTCACGGTTCTGCTCTGCAGTCTTGTTTCATATTTGTTGGGTGTGTCACGTGGCTTTGTCTTTGTTTATGTTGGCCATGTGCTCCTCAGGTCCTGTTTTCCCCCTTACCACACCCCCTTGTTTAGTCTTTGCCCAGTGCTCCTGTTCTGTTGATTGTTTCTTACTTAATATAATTATAGTGATAGGAATCAAAATGATTCACTGTTTCGAAGCGCTTGCCACATGCTAGCGACACCTGCTGGTCAAAACAGTGTAAATACAACAGAAACTCAGCTCAAACATGCATAAAACCAGCTTTTACAAACTCGTTGCAAATAATTTATTTAAAGTATAATCTATCAAATGATCATCTAATAATCTAATACCATAATATTTGTTCTTTTAGCAATTTGCAGGGTTTATTTGGTTTGTTCTATGGATGGCTCAGCTGAACAGGCCTGTAAGAGATTATAAACTACTATTATCCCTTTTAATTATAATGTCTCATTAAAACGGCTACAAATGTATAAAACCTACCTGAGATCAGGAAAAAACTATAGATGTCTGTTCACAGACGTTGTTCTGAGCTCAGTGAATTTGCATGATTCATGGCTTCACAGAGATCATCACCCCCACAATGGTGAACCAAATAATTTTTTTGTAATTTATTTATTGAAACTGTGGTTGACCATTACAATAAATTTGAGCAATTTATTCCACATATACAAGAAAGAAAAGCAATCTGTAAGACAGCATTAAGAGAAGAAAAATGGAAAAGTCTGTGACAGACACAGTATTAAGATTCAAGTGTATGTAAACTTTTGAACTGCTTCATTTGTGTATAAATTTTTTTTGTCTTGTCTATATGTAAACATTTGTTATGTGAAGTTGCTTATTCAGGACAGTACTATATATATATATATATATATATATAAACACTTATTGTGATTATGATACCTATGATAACTATTTTATTAATTTATTTATTAACGTTTTGCATATTCTGCATGGGGTATGTAACTTTATGAGTAGAATATGTCAGGATGTGTGTTGTATGATGTCCATTAAGTTGTTGAAGATCATTCATGAAACTCGTGTCTGTTTGTCTGATGAGTGAATGTGAGAAGCAATGTTCTTCTGCTGTTTATTTTGCATGTGTTTCATTATGAATGCAGACATATTTCTCTGCTCACAGTCTTTATGATCTGTATAAAACCATTGTCACAGCACTTTCCTGTTTGTTTTCGTTTGACTAATAATCAACTGTTCAATTCTCCAGGTGTGTCTGGTGTTAGGGATGATGTGTCCTTGTCAGCGAATGAGGGAGATTCAGTCACTCTCCACACTGGTGTTAAAACAGACCAACAAGAAAAGATTAGATGGTATTTTAGTGACATTCGCATCGCTGAAATTACTGGAGATTTCGGTTTTATCTGTACAGATGTTCAGTGTAAAGACGCTGATGGGAGATTCAGAAACAGACTGAAGCTGGATCATCAGACTGGATCTCTGACCATCAAAGACACCAGAACCACAGACTCAGGAGTTTATAAACTAAAGATCATGAAAGACAGAAGAGACAGTGAAAAGATCTTCATTGTTTTTGTTCATGGTGAGTCATTTGAAAGCAAGTACATCAGGGCACATTTAGTGATATTGTTGCAGTGACATTCAGAGGTGTTTATCTCCTTACCGGCATTCTAATTCACATTTAGCACATAGATAATTTCTTCAAAAATCTTCAAAAGATTCCTGAAGACAGAGCCGATCCTCCCTATATGCAAAATACGCAAGCTGCGTAGGGCCCCCGAAACATCAGGGGGCCCCCTTGCTCTCAAAGATGATTTAATTTTAGTTTCGTTTTTGAATTTCGCCAGCGGTTATGAAAACATGAATGATAATTTCTTTTAACGCGCTGTCACCCTTTCTACGTAAAAATCAGTCAAATCATGTAATGTGAATGTTGTACAGTCTTGTTTGAGACTAAAAAAAAATTGGTTGAAAGCGTACCAAGCCGCAGAAGAGACACTGTTTCTCAAGCACTTTCCGCGAGCGCGATTCGAGTGAAAAACTGACAAATTTGTTTTATTCCTTTTTTTATTAACCACACATACCCCACTCCAGCGCCCCACTCTACAGTTTTGTGTAGGGCCTCCAGAAGTCTAGGCTCGACACTGCCTGAAGAACTGTGTTGCTTGGCAAAGCAGTTGTTATTTGTTATTGTTAGAAATCCATTATTAAGTTACAATTTTGTTTCTCTGTGCTTGTTTTATGGAACTGTGCCAGGTATATGTAGTAATTATTTTATAAAATAAATAACCCCAGTAAAGTTTGAGGCACTCGGCTCTGCGTTGTGCTCAACAGTGCCACTCAACATTGTATGAAAATGTGGTGGAAGGTAGCACAATTTCTTGAAGTGAATCTGTAATATTCATAATATTACTTGGTTGTATGATGTTCATTAAGTTGTTGATGATCATTCATGAGACTCATGTATGTTTGTCTGATGAATGAAGGTGTAAATCTATGATGTTCTTCTGCTGTTTGTTTGCATGCTACATTATGAATAATTATATTGATACAATACCAGCGACACTTGTGACGTTAAGGGGTCAGAGCAAACAAAGAATGTAATTAAAAAGGGAATTTTATTTTGCCAACACGTTTCGGCACACAGGCCTTCATCGGCTAAAAGATTGCTGGTGTACATAGGTTCCTTTAAATGCAAACAAGGACAAAATTCAAAAATAATGAAACTTGCAAACAACCAATGAAAATATTGGATAATACATTGTAATGTTACATTATGAATCCAGACATATTTCTCTACTCACAATCTTTAAAGGGTTAATTCACCCAAAAATGAAAAGTCTGTCATTAATTACTCACCCTCATGTCGTTCCAAACCCATAAGACCTTCTTTCATCTTCGGAACACAAATTAAGATATTTTTGATGAAATCCGAGAGCTTTCTGACCCTCCATAGACAGCAATGTAACTGAAATGTTCCCAGGTCCAGATAAGGACATCGATAAAATAGTCCATTTGACAAAAATGGTTCAACCGTAATTTTTTTCCTTCTCCTTCGCGTCACCGTAGGCGCCATTAACAAGAGTACCATGACGCATGCATGTGCGTTCTTCTGCTCGTAAACAAGGCTCAGCGCATGCGTGTTATACGTCAGCAGCACCACACGCGTGCGTCGTGGTACTTTCGTTAATGACGGCAGACTGTCCCAGAAGAGAAGAAATCGTTGAATAAAGTAGTTTTTTTTTCTTTGTGCACAAAAAGTATTCTCGTATAGCTTCATAAAATTATGGTTGTATATTTTAACGATGTCCTTACTGTGTACTGTACCCTTGCTGTATATGGGAGGGTCAGAAAGCTCTTGGATTTCAATAAAAATATCTTAATTTGTGTTCCGAAGATTTTTCTTACGGGTTTGGAACGACATGAGGTTGAGTAATTAATGACTCATTGATTAATTTTAATTTTTGGGTGAACTAACTTTAAGATCTGTAGAAAATAATTTTCACAGCACTTTCCTGTTTTTTTATTTTTTATTTTTTATTAATAATCAACTGTTAATTTATTTTCCAGGTTTTTTCAGTGTTGATACAGATGAAGAATCAGCGTTTGTGATGGAGGGAGATTCAGTCATTCTACACACTGAGGTTGAAACAAACCAACAAGAAAAGATTAGATGGTATTTTAATGACACTCGCATCGCTCAAATCACTGGAGATCAGACTAATATCTGTACAGATGTTCAGTGTAATGAAGGTACTGAGAGATTCAGAGACAGACTGAAGCTGGATCATCAGACTGGATCTCTGACCATCATGAACACCAGAGAACCGGACTCTGGAGTTTATCGTCTACGGATCATCATCAGCAGCAACATCAATGAAAATATCTTCATTGTTGCTGGATATGGTGAGTCATCATGTTTAAAAACAAGTCATGTACATTTAAATTTAGTGATATTTTTGCAGATTTTGCATAGTTTTTCTCTTTACCTGTATGTTTATTCACATAGTATAAAGATAATTTTGTCAAAAACATTTACTGTTGAAGTGGAATTTGTAGATTTAAATATGGCCTATATTTATTACAGTATGCCATAAAGTTAGTTAGTTAGTTATTGGTTGGTTAGTTATTAATTTTATCAGTCTTGTTTTGATGAAGATGAAAGTTCTACTATCATCAGTTTAAATCTATCTATTTTTTCATACTCAGTGTTTTTTTATAGTTCATTAGAAATTCAAAGTCAAGCAGATATGATAAAAAATATGCACAATAGCTCATTTGTGGATAAATGCATTTTTTTTAGACAAAGTAAAGATGATTCCACAGTTCACTCATGTTATGTTTTCCCCTCAAAAAGATCCTCCAGCAGCTGTTGGTTTGTGTTTCAGGTGTTTCTGCTGCTGAACAAGATCAAATGAAGAGAAAGTCAGTGAAGGAGGGAGAATCTGTCACTTTAGATCCTGCTGTAATCAAAAAACAAAATTATTTGATGAAATGGTATTTTAATGATGCTCTCATCGCTGAAATCACTGGAGATCAGAGTAAGATCTGTACAGATGATCAGTGTGAAGAGAGATTCAGAGACAGACTGAAGCTGGATCATCAGACTGGATCTCTGACCATCATGAACAGGGAGAAGCTGTCACTTTAGACTCTCGTGTAATTAAAATACAGAATGATATGATGACGTGGTATTTTAATGACATTCTCATCACTGAAATCACTGGAGATCAGAGTAAGATCTGTACAGATGAACAGTGTAAAGAGAGATTCAGAGACAGACTGGAGCTGGATCATCAGACTGGATCTCTGACCATCACAAACACCAGAACCACAGAATCTGGACTCTATAAACTACAGATGAACCACAGCAGAATCAGTATCATAAAGATATTCAGTGTTACTGTCACTGGTGAGTATCATTAGTCATTCCATGCACTTTACTTTGCAGTTTTAGAAAGAAGATTAAAACATATACATTAGGGCTGCACGATAAATCGCATGCGATATTTAACGCGCCCTATTATAAATCAACCCAGCAAATGTTTTCATCGTGGGCTATTAGAAAAGGTGAGCTTTGACTCAATATGAAAATATAACTGAGATCATCTTTATTGCCATCACATGCATGTAACATTGAGCTTTGTCACTTATGAATTTTACAGATTTCAAGTCTATTGTTAATTAGAAAAATGCACTATATTAGTCAGTTTCCTGCTAATTCTTGTCACCACTTTTGCTGTTCCTCAAAATCCACTAGAGGAAAATTGTCTAAAAAGTATTGTTAAAGTTGATTATTAGTTAATCTCTAGTAATAATGACTGTCTGTCTTTAGCTGTTCCAGATTCGAATGCTGCTGCTGCTGTTGCTGCTGTTATTGTTGCTGTTCTGCTGGTGGCTGCAGCTGCTGTCATTTACTATCGCCAAAGGAAATCTACACAAGAAGGACAAAATGGCAAGCATTACATACAGCTGATTTTGCAAGACGGAAAATGAGATCTATTGTTATCTTTAAAAATATGCAAAAGTGTATTTTTATTCTCATTAACCAAAGTAATGGAGTTAAATCTGTGTTTAATTGAGTTTTTTGTTATTATTGTTCAAACAGACACAATGCAGCACAATCATGATCAGGTGAGATATTATGTGTGCCGAATCTTTCTGACTGCAAAAGAAATTGTGAAGTTACGACAGATTCTGATCTGTGAGATCTGTAAATCTCACAAGTGTAAATCTCACAAGTGTAAGTGTGTGTATGTAAAATCATTACATAGAAACAGCAATATTTATATACATGTATTGACTTATTTAAGAGATCACTGAACTTGTGCCCTTTGCTTCTTGAATGAAGAAAGAGATTCTTTAGATTTCGCAAACATTAGAGGGAAAATAATTTGTATTTATTTATTTTTTGTCTGACTGAATCATCAATCTGATCATTTGTTTTACCTTCTGTGAATGTTCCATTAATCGCTGATGATATTGGGACATCACAGTAGCTTTATTTATTATTTTGGTAACTAATGCTGCGTTCGATTTACCTCAGAAGTCGAATGTCGGAGCTGGGAATGGCATCACACCCAAGTAGACCGTGTTCCAGTAGAGAAGTATAATGGAGTTCACTCGTGTTAGCATTAGCAGTGTTAGGAAAAACAGAGCATTACATTACATATTGTGTAACTCCAGACACTCACATAGCAACATGTTCACAGATAGAGGTTGGGCAATAATGAGTGTATGACTCAATAATGACATGGAAATGTAACAGAAGCTTTAGAAATATTATAGTATTTATAGCTTTTTAACGTTTGCTTATGCAGGGAGCAGCCATCTTGAATTCTCAACTGTAATATTCTGCCTTTTTAAGCATTTGAGATGTGGAGCAGTTTTTATTCATTTTTTAATTTATTTAATTTATTTATTTTTTACTGCCAAGTTTGTGCATTTCATGTGAGGAGGAAGATGGAGGCCTGTGGGGTGTTCAAGGTAAAGCTTACTATTTCACATTGTCTGTTTTGTTATCTAGTATTAGATGTTTGTTTTGTCCATCTCTTTCAATTATTTTAAAGGGGTCATATGATGCTGCTAAAAAGAACATTATTTTGTGTATTTGGTGTAATTAAATGTGTGTATGCGGTTTAAGGTTCAAAAAACACATTATTTTCCACATACTGTACATTATTGTTTCTCCTCTATGCCCCGCCTTTTTGAAACGCGTCGATTTTTACAAAGCTCATTGGTCTGAAAAAACGAGGTGTGCTCTGATTGGCCAGCTATCCAGTGCGTTGTGATTGGCCGAATACCTCAAGCGTGTGACGGAAATGTTAAGCCCCTCACCATACTGTTGATGCCGTGTCCCGGCCGGAGCGACGAGACAAAAACATTAAAACCCATTACAAACGAAGCATTTGTTACATCCAGTGGGGACATAATTACTGATTATAATGACTTATACTGTCTTTTTACGCGTTGCGTTGCATTGCATCGCGCCGCGTAAACATAAAACTCTGTCTGCATTTGTGATCAGAGAAATGACAAACAACAAGTGCTACTCTACACTGCCCAAAACTCGCGTTTGAATCATCAGTGGCAAATCCTTTAAATGAAAACGTACTTACGTGAGTCAGAAAGGAAAAATTGAAATCGCATCATATGACCCCTTTAATGAAGAATGTTTGGCTGCATTGTAGGCTATTTGTTCAAAGTGCATATTATATCATGTAAACATTGTGTTTTTTATTTGTTTGTATTCTAGAATATTATCACATGGAAATGGTCGCCTTCACTTGAATTTCCTGCATGCTCAGTCCAGTCTCTACTGTGACTGTCTCTAATGTGTCACTCGTATAGTTTTGGATAGGGAAAAATGCAACACTCAGTATGGCCAATCTATCAAAGGAAGCCTTGCCTTCTACATAAAAGAGCCAATGGCTAATCGGTAAAGTCATCGCGTCACTGCAGCTACCGTTAGAAATCCCATTGCTATAGAAACAGTCAGTGTTCTGAGACGTGTGCTTATGACTGTGCATGCGCACTGGCTAGTCTAGCCTGGAAAATAAGCTTTTTTAATGCTATTGAGCAAAAGAAACAACATTTATGAGACACTTGCATGTCTGAGAGGCGTTTCAAAGATGGCCGCCAAGTGAAATGACTTGCCTTAAAGGGACTTTGGGGAAAAGAACAGGAAAAATATGTTTGACCTGTTTTAAACTTCATCTGTTTTTCTGAACAATGGGAAAAGGCTTAATTGTGCACTTCTCTATTACTTTCTCAGGTTTATTCTGTTTTATGTGGATTATGAGATCTGTTCAGAAAGCTATTTTTATTTAACTTTGCATCAGCCCAAGAAATCTTCCTGTAAAAATGAGCATATGTTTCCATTTTCTTACAGCGGAAATTAACCTAAAGCATGTGTTTGTTTGCTCATGTGACAAATCATATTAAAACTTTTGATACTCATATAACATAGCTGAACTCGGTGTTTGTCATTTTGAATTAGTTAGAAATAACTGAATTAAACAAACCTGGATTTGTATATAGAGTGATCATCGTGATTTCTGGACTAGACTTTTTTAAGGATTCAACCTTTGACCTTCACCTGACCTTGACCTTTAAACAGATCATTTGATACAAGTATTTTTGCGTTTTTAACCTAAATCACAGCAGCGTCCATCTGTGAAGGATGTAGTCTCACAAACATACACAACTATTAGCCAATCATAGCAGTGGGCGTTTACTTCCGAGTCTACAAGCCACCATACCTATTCAAAAACAGAGCGTTCTGATGATGGAGGTCAAAAACAGGACTGAAAATAGCCTATTACTTCTAAATTATTATGATTTTTTTGGTGTAAAAATCTTGATAACTTTAGAAGTGGACCTCAGAGAACAGTACAAAATAAAAAAACAGAGGCAGTTCATGACCCCTTTAAATGAATGAGAACAGGCTTCAACAAACTTTTTTTTATTTTTTTATTTTCTATTTTCTTTACATCACAATACAGAGACAGGTACGTTCTTTCATAAATACATATCATACAATCATATATGTATACCAATCTGTTACCCTTTATCTTTTACACGTTTTTATAAGAATTAACCAATATTTAAGACCATATTGAAAGGAGGGACATTTGGTATGTTCCATAACTTATCGGTTACGTTGACTGACAATTTCTGTCCATCTCTTAAAATGTAATCCCCTATGCATTTTAAACTTGTAGTTACTGATTTAACTGGGATCTCATATTTCTGAAAAACACAAATATTCCTAGATTTCCATAGTGCTTCCTTAAAACATTTATAATTGCCCACCACCGTATCCATTTTTTACAATTAACCTTTTCCAATTCTCCATACCAAATATCTCTTTCACTTGGCACTCTGTACAAATTGTATAACCATAATCGAATAGAACCCCAAACCTTCTGGGCATAAGCACATTCCCACAAACAATGTCTTATTGTCTCTTCTTCTCCACAGTTTGCTCTAGGACACAAAGAAAAACGAGAACAACCTCTCCTCTTCAAAAAAGCCCGAGTAGGTAAACAGTTTTGTACAGCCTGCCAAGCGATATCCTTATGGCAATTAAACAAGAAATCATCGTTCACATTCTTCCAAACCATAATACATTCTGATTCAATAAGATGTCCTACAGGAGTCATCTTAAATAAAGATGGGGATAGCTTTTCCTCTATTAACTGTCTATTTAAACTCCCAATCTGAATGTTAGACCAAGATGTTCTCTTTAGTATCTGCAACATTTTATTATACATAACTGGTCTAGTTTCTGCATAAGGAGTATTCTGAGGCATTCTCTTATTCCAAATTCTCCCCACTTGTCGGCCTACCCAGAACTTCACAAAAAACTACTATAATTAGCCACTTCATCATTTAGACAAGATTTCAATACAGGAAAGAGAAACATAGCATCCAATTTGGCTTGTATATCAGGGATCGCTAATCCTCCTTTCTCGATTTTTCTACACACAATTTCTCGTTTCAACCTCTCCTGATTAGAGTTCCATAAAAAACGGAAAATCTTTTTCTTTACTGAATTTAAAAACCATCTTGGGGCTGGCAAAGTTGCTTCAACAAACTGAGCTGGGCAGGACTGGACACAGGACATGCTCTGGAGAGAAGCTTTCATCTTCTGAAAGTTCTGCTCAGCTTTTATACTGCTGCTCTCTCAGCTGGTAAGGGCAATCAGCTACCTGCCAGAGTGGGAGGAGACAGAGGAGCAGGAGACACAGAGAGAAACAACAACAAAAAGAAACCATACCACAATACTCAATGTAGTTAACACGAAAGTAAATACGCCATTGGATGTAACACTGTACACTCAATAGAGTGTACATTAATTCCCGCGTCTCACCAGAAGATGGCGCCCACAGCTGAATTATCCATTCATCCATTTTCCAAAATCGTTGGTCCTATATGGGTATAGTATACAATTATACAGATTTTAAGTGACTATTAAATTGTTTAATTAATGTTAAGTGTACCCTTTTAGACTTCATCACTGGTGTTTACATTCGTCTTCCTCTGTTTTCAGTTCCAGAGCTGGAGCAGGCGCAGTCCATCTTACGTTTGTGTCTGGAGTTTGACACCAAGTTACCCCAAAGTGAGATTTTACATCTACAATTTTCCCTGAACTTCAATCTTTAACATTTTGTGGTTCAAATTTGTCTTTTTAAGTTTTGTCCAAAACAGCCAATGAATTACTGAATGTATTGAGTTGAAGAAGCTTCCAACTCTTTTAGTTGAAAACATTTAAAAACATTCTCTCTGAAAGTTTGAGTTAGAATAGTTTGCAGGAGTTAAATTATGAACACAAGGAGGTTGTGTAGTGGGTACATACATGAGTTAACCTGTGTGGTGTGGTGACATTTTTTTTTGAGTGTGTTGAGTTGCATTGAGTTGCCCAAGAAAATATAATATACTTTGTTAACCTTATTATCTATAGGTTGAATATGGTTTTATATTTCTGCTTAACGATCACTGTTCAAGTCATTGTTTTATGTAGATCTGTTTACAGCATGATTATTTGCAAAACACAAACAAAATAAATTATATATTTATTCTAAATACCTCCATTGCTTATTGTTTTACTGCACCAGAATGTTATAAGTCTTGCCTGCATTGTTATATAATGAGGTTTAACATCTGCACTGAAAGTGCATGCATTAGTTTACAATGAGTCAAGAAAATAGATCACTATTTCATGTTAAGGACCTCTTATACGTTCTGTGCACACTTTTCTATTATTTCACTTCAGAGGCCAACAGATACCTCAAAAAAATTAATAATAATAATAAATAAATAACACCCATAACTTATATGGGACGTCCCATATATATATATATATATATATACACCTGTATGTAACCAATTTACTGCAGTGTTTTAGAGATACAGTGACGATACTTTAAACACCTGTATAAACCTAATTTCTTATAAGTACAAAAAAGAATGGCAACTTTTTATAGAGCATGTCCCATATGCACACCTTATATGAAAGCATGTAAGTGGTCTCATCTATTAGTCATCAAAGTGTTTATCAGTGGGTCTTAGTATCTGCTGAAAGGAGTTTTAGAGTGTGATCAGTGAGAGAATGATCAGTAATGCAGTAACAATATAAATATTGAGGGAAAAAACAGATGCACCTGTATATGTGTGCATTTTCCATATTTCACATTCACACAGTATCACATAGTAATCTTTTCTTGCTTGTGTTGTATTTAGTATTTTGTAGTGAAGTTGTTTTTTCTAAAGCAGAAGTCAAGCAGTTTCATATGAGCAGGAATGGAAAAAAACCCTTCAACCACATGCTACTGACACCTCAAACACTCTCACACACTGACATTAAACGCAAACATCTAGCAGATACAAGCACATGCAGAACCTGTTTGTCCAAGAGATAAAACCACATTTATGTACAGATGTGAACAAACAAAGCAGGGTCTCCTCTCCTTTTGCTCAGTATTTTGCATCTACATTTTACATTTACAAAGACTTTAAGAATATACTTTAATAAGAACATAAAAATACTTGCCATACTATTTAGATAATTAGGACTTCAGGAGACCATTTCATGAATCCATCTTTAAGTACCACACTTCAAACCCCTCAGGATCATCCTACCCACTGTCATTTCTTGATGTGACAAGTGGTGATTCTCACCAATTGGCAAAACTTAACTATAGACTCTGAAACTGAGGTTGTCGCAGGCGATTCTGGGTCTTGCAGTTTGATCATCATCTCATGGCAATAGGAACATACTCCACATGGTCTTCCTCTTTAACATTCTGTTAAAAACACATCACACAAGAGATGAAAATACTAAAACAAACATCAGAAGTGTAGTGCTACTGAGACATCTTAGATTTCTTTTGGTTGTGACAGGGCATGTGACTTTTTGAATTTAATGACTCACATGCATATACAGGGGTTGGACAAAATAATTTGAGCACCAATTATTGTAGGGGTTAATATCATTTATAATATATATTATAATAATATCCTTTATAATGCGCTGTGAAATGTGTGATTGTCAGACTTACAAAAAGTAAAACTCATGGAAGCCTGTTTTGCAGGAGCATCTGTAACCTTATCAGCCCAGTTATTTGATGTTTAAAGAACTTCTTTATGAGACTGCATTTACAAAGCATCAGTGAAGAAGAAGAGTGGGCAAAAACTGAAAGTGGCTGTCAAACACTAAGTAGGATTGTCTGCAAACCACATAGAACTACTGCAGCAAAGTGACAGCAAACCTCAATATCCACCTGAAGAAAACCAACCACAGAGAACTTCACATAGCCAACATCCATGAAAAAGCTGCAATTATTAAAACTTTATAACAGACATCAATTTGAAAATGTGAAAAAGATGGAGTCAGGATCATAAAAATTGACAATTGGAGCACCAAGGTAAACTTCAGCCATTGTCATATAAAGCAGGTTTGACTGATTTTAAAAACGCATTTGCTCATGGACTGTCGTGCAAACCAGAAGAAACGTGCATCATTGTGACTTTCATTTCATGAAGCCTTCCATTTCCTGTCAGATGATTTTAACATAGTGAGTTTCTGCTACAATA